TCGGTTAAATGGTCGATTAAAAAAGCCTTAGAAAATTCGGTGGTTAATTTTTTTTAAAATCCGGAATAATCGGTCCGGTTAACGGATTACATGTGGCAAACCGCCGGTTTAACCAGATCAGACCGGTAAATATTAAAAAATTATAAACAATATATATATACATTCAGTCATTCATTATGGCCGACAAATACAATACATTCACTTTCACTTTTTGGCTTTTTGTTGACTTAATTTTGTAAGACACTATATTGTTAACTTAATTTTGTAAGACACTATAATTTTGTTGAATTAATTTTCCCACCTTCGTTTTTTTATTTTCAAATTTTTCAACCTCCCCTTCCTAATTTTTTGGGACGAAATGTGTATTTTTATGCGCATGAGACGAATTTTGTATTTTTTTTTATTTCTTATTGTTGTTTTTCTTAATTTTTAGGTCCAAATAATCTCTTTTGGACCCAAAATTGAAAAGAAAAATTAAACCAAAAATAAAAAAAAATAAAAATTGAAAACCAAAAACAAAGATTTTGGATTTACTCGGTTAACCGCCAAACCAGACCGTCCAATGCGGTCCGGATTGTGGCCGGTTAAAAAATAAAACCGGTCCGGTTATGGACAAGAAAAAAAATAACCGTTAGGTCCAATTTGGTCATGGTTTGGGCTAAAACCTGACCAATCCGGACCGTGAACACCCCTATAACACAATATTTGAGCAAGTTTTTTACACAACTCTAAAGTAAAATTGTAATGTAGAGTCAATACTAGAGTTGCTCTAAACGGTTAAGTCGATCCCACCCGCGCGGGTGCCACCCATTTTTACTGTGCACCAATCGGTGTTCGCCACGTGGCTAAAGTGGCTTTCTGATCGTGTCTTGATTGGGCCATCGTGTCTTGCAATTCTTTATGAACCTGTCACGTTTTCATCCAGTTCTTAACTATCCAAACCACATTTTGTATAAGAACCAGCCATACATACAAAACAAGGGTGGTGAACGCCAAACCAGTGGCTAGCTCAACTCAACTTATTAGTTTAAAACAGAAAAGAAGAAAGAACATGAGGACCAAACCAGTAGCTTGAACGGGGTGGACGAGGGTTAAGTCAATCCCACCCGCGCGTAAATTGAAGCATTCAACACATGATTCGGATTTTAGGTTCTACGCAACTGAGAGAACACACAACAATTGAGAGTAAATTGCCCAACTCACACAACAATCACCTCTATATACTACACGAATTAGTTGCAATTGATAAATTGTTATCAGCAAAAATAAAAATAAAATAACAGAATCAGTTTTTGGAAAGTTAGGTGCCACATAAAAACAAAACGTCGTGAGCCAAAGAAACATCAACAGAAGAATCAAGAAATAGTATAAAGTTGTTCGTGAAAAGTGAGCGAGAGTACATGAGAAGCATCCGTGGCGGCACCAGAGTAGAGCTCAGTTGGAATGGAGGAAGGTCAGTGAGAAGAACCAGCTGGCGAAGAAACCATAGATGGATGATATATGTACAAATCTCCATATTCAAAGTTCTTGGGATTCGATAGGCAAACTATGATGATCCCCTGAAGTTTGACAGTTTTTTGCCCTTCTTTACCTTTGATATCCTATGTTCAAAAAAACCTAACTCCCGACAGAATTATCTATTCAGTCACTTCTAATATGCGACGAATGAATGGCCATATCGAGGAACCAAACGACGTTTAATCCTGCAAAAGGCTCACACAACCAGCAAACTCAAGTTCAATAAATGCATGTAAATTGAAAGTTCAATAAAGGAAGAAAAGTGTCAGTTTTTTGCTAAAAAATAAAGTTCTTTGTGTTTGCATAACATTCGCTTATTTTTGTCATCAATTAATACAAAAATTAGAAGCAACGAGGGGGTAGCAATGCCAACATTGGGTTTGGGGTTATGGTGGTCTACTCTTCACTAGCTTTTCTAATTTATTTGTTGGATTTACTCCAGTTTTAAACATTATAAAACTAAATTACATCCGGGGGGGGGGATCAGAAACTCTGAACCAAGCAATTTTTT